GACCTACATATTTAATAAGTGTAACAACCTGTCAGTTTTACTCAATTGTGAATTGTTTCTTTTATTAGTTGTTATGATTTAGGTAATCTCTGGGTAATCAAATATAGTTATTAGAAAAATTGCAATGTTATATTTCAAACTTTATTTTAGAACTCTAAAGAGTAAACTATATGTGCTATAATTAGCTGTAATAATATTTAGCAAACATGCATTTTGCAATAGATCAAAGTACGTAATTACTAAGGTAATTTTTTAGTTATTTTAGCATTTTAACTATCACATCAGTGTTAATCATTGTTAATGTAACATATATAGATGATTTTTCGTATCTGTATTCGTTTAAATTGCTTCATTGTAACTAGACGTATATATCTAGAATTGTTCGAAAATCGGATGGAGCCAGAGCAAGGAGCAAAATACGAGCAACAGCCTAGTAGCTCAGACTGTCAACAATCATTCAGGTTATAAGCTGGAATGTATCAGCTGGACGTTGACCGCACTGGTGATAGTGTTCGTCCTCGTTGTGGGGTACCCACTATGGCGCCACTGAAAATATGTAGTGAGAGGCTGGAAGCAGAGTGTAAGCAACCCGACCAGGGTGAGGGTGCAGGCGGTTCCCAACCAAGCCGCACCTACGCCTGCCGGTTTCGCATAGTGTGTATACAAGTGCGAGTGTTAACCTAATGTAAGTTAAGTGTTCTAAATCTTTGTGGAAGGAGAGGAATGATGTAGGGACACAATATAGGTATATATAATATACTGAGCCTCTTTAGGTCGCGTGTCCGGTGTCCTACGTCATATCCGTACTTATTTAAGTATAACAGCTATATATGTATGTGTAATGTCGCCTCTACACGTTGGCCAACACAGTGGCGAATATATTGGCCGAGAGTTGGTGACGGCGTCCACACGTTGGAAGATCGTTCAGTTTACTTCGGTTCGGGGCAATGTGCGGACGAATTTATAGGCACCGTGGCGCAGTGGCTCAGCAATGAGTGGCTGCGCCGGGCGCCGCGGGTTTGATCCCGCACGGAACAAGTATTTCTATGTCCTACAAATAATTGTTTCGGGTCTGAATGTGTGTCCTTGTGCAATTTATGTTTGTAAACTGCCTGCGCGATACGGGAGATAATACTAGTGTAGGGTTAACGTTTTATACAAGAAATATAAAATAATAGTGGATATTAATGGGGTTGTAAATAGATATAAGATATACGATTAGCATTATTTATTCTTTACATGCATCATAAACTGGAATAAATACCATTAATAAGAACTTAACTTATTTTAAAGTTAAAGGAGTTATATGTATATCGATTAGTCTATGTTTTAAAATTGGGTTTTGATTTTAAAGTTTAGCAAAATATGTACGTGCATTTCTATCAGACATTTGACGTATATAAAAAACACCTCATAATTTATTTGGTAAGACAATTATTTTCTGAGAAAGACAAAAACAATAGCAACAAATATAATTAACACTGACTAAATAATAGAGTACTAATCTGATTGTAAATAAATGTTCATTATTTTTTATAAATAGCTTATCGATTAAAACAAATGTTTAAAAATAATTAAATCGCGCCAATTAAAATAGTAGGTATGTTTAAAGTGGAAATTGGCACCAAAAGGCTGGTAATTGGGTCATCCACCCTACAAAGCGTGAATATAACATTTTAATCATATGCGTGTAATCACTCTGGGAGCTTGTAGCAAACTAAGCCGTTACGGCGCCTCTACACGTTGGCCAACACAGTGGCGAATGTAGTGGCCAATAGCATTGGCCAACGTGTAGACGGGGTGTTTGAGCTTCATTGGTATGTATTGGAACGATGGCCCGTAAGTTGGCGCGAGATCCGTGTGGTGTCGGTTTTTTACAAAAGATCAAAGGATTGTTGTCAGAGTTTGGTCGCCGCGTCCACACGTTGGCCGCGAGTTTAGTTTGCTACAAGCTCCCAGAGTTAAGTAGTCCTAAAGTTTAGCAAAATATGTACTTGCATTTCTATCAGACATTTGATGTATATAAAAAACACCTTATAATTTATTTGGTAATTTAATTATTTTTTGAGAAAGACAAAAACAATAGCAATAAATATAATTAACACTGACTTAATAATAGGTACTAATTATAACTTAGAACATAAATGAAAAACTCATGACGAGCAAAGTGGCTCAGGACCATGCTTTGCGGCAGTCTGTGGAGGAGGATGTTCAGTAGTGGACTTGTGAAGAACTGTAATGATGATGATGATTCGAAAACTTGCACGATTAAATTATAAGAAATCGACGCTTTTTTATATAGGATAGGGTGACAAACGAGCACACAGTCCACCTGATGGTAAGTGGTTGCTGTGGCCCACAGACATCTACATCTATCCTCGATTACGAATCAAAATGCAGATGCGTTGTCACCCGTGAGGACTAAGATGAAATGCCTCGTTACCTTTAAAAAGTGTCTCTGGTTCTCTACACTCAACATACGAAACACAGCATCATTAAGCTACTATTTTACATTGATAGTCTGTGAGAGCGTGGTCCTTCCCCGGTCGAACCGACCCATTCGTGCTACAACTATACTTCTAATATAACTGCATGGTTCTACCACGTATAAACAACGTGCTTCATTTTTTTCATTTTAAAATTGTGTGTAATCTGATGAATAAATGTTCATTATTTTTTTTATAAATAGCTTATCGATTAAAGCAAATGTTTAAAAATAATTAAATCGCGCTAATTAAAGTAGTAGGAATGTTTAAAGTGGAAATTGACACTAAAAGGCTGGTAATTGGGTCATCCACCCTACAAAGCGTGAATATAAAATTTTAATCAGATGCGTGTAATCACTCTGGGAGCTTGTAGCAAACTAAATTCGCGGCCAACGTGTGGACGCGGCAACCAAACTCTGCCAACAATCCTTTGATTTTTTGTAAAAAACCGACACCACACGGATCTCGCGCCAACTTGCGGGCCATCGTCCCAATACATACCAATGAAGCCCAAACACCCCGTCTACACGTTAGCCAATGCTATTGGCCACTACATTCACCACTGTGTTGGCCAACGTGTAGAGGCGCCGTAATGTGTACCTATAACAGTTATAGGTGTGGCGGCTGCGTCCGCCACGTTTAAAAATTAGTCGCAAATATATCCCCGTTTACACGACACGTGTCTTCATTTATTGCAACCTTAATTGTACACCTTAGTGGAATTAACAATAAATAAATTAAATAATTAAATGCAGTACTCATAAAACTGTACAAGTTTTATCACAAAAATGTAAAAGTTATGATATTTGAAGGAGTTGACAAGTCTATAGCATTCTCATGAACAGGATGATGCATGTGCCCAACTGTGGGACGTTATCAGTTGCATGTTCAATTTAATTATAAAAATGATGATACTAGTCAGAATATACATTACCATAACCGTCACAGTTTATTGAAAGTCGTCTGCTGAATATAGGCCTCCTCCATAGACTGACTCATGGGGGTGATATTTGCCACAGTTTCCACGCTTAGCACGTGGGTAGGCAACCGCACTTTTTTATTTTTTAGTTATATAGGGTGTAACTAGGAGACGAATATCCTGATTTGTCTCCATCTACTGCCTCTTAAAACACCAACAAAACGATGTGGAATAGTGGATTCTTACACAACCACTGCATGAGGTGAAAGACCACGCAATAATTGAACGAAGTGCCTTATTAGAAGCAAAAACAGTTAATGTTTTGTCCTATTTCACACTGGTATTCAGTGCCAGCGTGGTATAGCAAAAATCTTGCTATGCAGTTATTTAAGGGCGAGGCTTGTTCATTGATCTTTAGTAGACTGTAACGGCAACATTATTGTTGGTCTTCCTTCGGTGAAATCTAATAATCCATGATATATTAGGATGCAGCGAGCCAGCGTCAATTTTATGGCTCTTGAACACTCCCACTCATCTTAATTTATAACAAAATATTATATAAAACAATAATTCTATTGATTAATACTATTTTTACGGATTTTATCGCGTTCCCCTACGTCACAGTGACCGAGTGAAGCCGGCCACAGTCGAGCGTGTGCCTGATGTACTACCATATGTCAGAGGTATCATAGACAAGATTGGCTACATCTTGAAGCAAGCTTCTATTAGGACTACTACGAGCCGCCGAAGAAGATTAGTCATTCTTTCTTTTTTTTTTCTTTTTCTTTTTTTTTAAAAACGTTACTCCTACACTAAGATTTTCTCCTGTATTGTAGGGGCAGTTTACAAACATAAATTAGACAAGGACAAACATCCAGACTATTTGTAGGCCATACAAATACTTGTTCCGTGCGGGTTTCAAACCCGCGACCCCCAGCGCAGCCACTCATTTCTAAGCCACTGCACCACGGAGTTAATTCTTGCCATCCGTTAAGTGTCATATTCCTCTACAAGATGCAGGAGTGTACAAGCTTGATTGTGATTGTGTTCTCTCATATATAGGGCAAACAAAGAGATCAATTAGAACCCGCGTAAAAGAACACATAGCTGACGTGAAGCATCAACGTTCCGGGAAGTCTGCAGTTTACGATCATATCCTAGATGGCCCCAACCACTATATCAGATTTGATAGACCACAAATTAATCAAGGTCCAAAATAACGTAGACTCATGCGCTTACCGTATTTAATTTATTGACGCTTAGCTACGGCCTTCCGTTTATTTTGACAGGAATTTTAACGCATCAAGAAAAAAAGATATTACGAGTATATTATGAACCTATATCACTCAGGGACGTTCAAGAAAAGAAAAAGAGCCTTCTCTTTTTTAAAAGGCTGGCAACGCATCTGCGATTCCTGTGGTGGTGCTCTTCTCTTCATCGTCCTCGTTCTGGGGACAGGAGGCACCAAAGCATGCCTATCTGCCTGGGCGTCATTGTGAGGTGCACGGCTCTCCCGTTCCTGAGTGCTGCTACGCAGCTTATAGGTTGGAGTGCTGTATACTAAACACTATCAGATCAGGTATTGGGAAACTCACTCGTCCCCGGCGGCTCCCTCGCCGGGCGGTGAGCGTTCAAGTTCAAGTGGGAGTGGCCATTCTTCAGGTGGGTAAAGCATGTAAAGGTGTGGGTGAAGCCCGTTACGGGCGCGGTCCAACAACCGTCTTGGAGTACGGGCTGTAGGAGTGTTGCGTTGGTAAGGTTCATAATCTTGACAGTGAAACGCGTCTTTCATTGAACACCTTTATTGAGAACTACGGTGGCACACGAGATTTTAATTATTGCAGACAATGCCAATTAGCACACAGTGTCAGTAGAACAGTAGTGAGAGAGAGTAATAAGTAATAAGTAATGGCGGCCGGAAGCCTTTATTTTTTTTTTAATTTTTATTATTGGTGTTGTCAACATGCTGGCGGCGCAGCCTTGCAATAAGACTTCTGAGTCTTCTATTATATTTACTATTATTTAAATGCCCTATTCAAGCAAACCAGCATATTGCCATCATTTAACATTTTCAAAAGGCAAGTTACTAAGACATTTTATTCTGACACCCTATATACTTAAATTATTTAAATAAATTATTCTTAAGATAAGTATTCTAAATATTATTAATTATAGCTAGGATTCCTATAGTCATGCTATAACACATGTGTTTATTTTATTCTAAAGGAAGTATAGGTATGCCGCTCAATGAACGCTTATATATTTTTTTACTCGGTGTCATAACATCTACCACACGACGATTTTATTGTCTTTCCCAGGATATACCTTTACAATTCTGGCCATAGGCCATGACAGAGGCGGGGAGTTTGGCTGTCGAAGTATCACTAAGGCTCCTACTTTTACATTGGGCAAACTGTCGCGCCATTTAGGGCGAGACTGCAAAATATTTAAATAATAATGGTGCCATATTTTCCAAAAATGCCCCTTAACCTTGTTACAAATTTCCCAGAAATTTAACCTAGTATTAGGTACATCTACAACATTTCTTTCAGGTAAAGAGGTTAATGCAGTACCAATAAGAAAATGGCCTGGTGTAATAAAGCTAAAGTCATTTACATCATCAGCTGTTACGGGCAACAGTGGTCTAGAATTGAGTACAGCTTCTATTTGACACATAATTGTATTTAGCTGTCCATAAGTTAATACATATCCTTCTATGATACGTTTTAAATGAAATTTCATACTTTTGACTGTTGCCTCCACAAGTCCAGCAAACACGGGCCAGTAACTGGGCACGAAGTGAAAATTTATACCTTGTTGTGCCGCATAATTTTGGTCTTATGTTTGATGCACTTGTGACGACTGCAACTTATATAAGTGAACCAATTCATTCCTTGCTCCTCTGAAAGAGCCTCCATTATCACAAAACACATCTGTAGGCAATCCCCTTCGCGCGAACCGTTTAAAGCAAGCAAGAAAACAGTCAGTGGTTAAATCTAATGCGAGCTCGAGATGTATGGCTTTAGTTACAAAGCAGACAAACACAAAGATGTAACCCTTTGTCTGTAAAGCACGTCGTAGTCGAGAATTTTCTACTTGTACTAGTCCCGCAAAATCAATTCCTATTTTCTGGAATGCTCTACAAGCTGTTACACTTTCAGGTGGCAAGGAACCCATCAGCTGTTTGGCACAATCGCTTTTTATTCTAAAACAAATTTAACAATTATGAATTTGCTTTTTCACATACGAGTATCTATAACCATTAACAATCCAGTATCTCTGGTTTAAACTTGATAATAATAATTTTGGTGCAGCGTGTAACAATCTTTTTATGTTCATGGCTAATAATTAAGTCGTAAGTTCATGGCTAATACATGAACTTCTAGGTAGAATGATAGGGTGTTTTCTATCAAAAGATACATCAGAGTTTTCTATCCTACCACCTACTCTTCAGATGTCCTCTTTGTCTAGAAAAGGGTGAAGTGGTTTTAAAGAGCCGTTTACATTTTCGTTATTAAATTTTAAGGTTTTAATTTCTTCTTTGAAATGAATGCTCTGCTCACGTTGTACAATTTTGCGTAAAGCATATTGCAGCTCAAAAGGAGATAATGTAGTACTCGATCTACGCTCGTTTTTATTTTTAAGATTGTGAAAATATCTGAATATATATACTAGAACACGTATCATTTTATTGAGATCCGAAAACCTATCGAGAAAAGTATAAAAATCGTCCTTATTTTGCGTAAGGAGGGAAACCTTGGCCGTGAAGTTTACATCATCCTTTTTCACCTCAGGTAAGTCTGCCGGTTTTCGAGGATTTTCTCATCTCCAACCGCCTGGTAAGCCTAAACTTAGGTTGTACACCAAACCTTGTAAAGCGTGCTAGGCAAGAAGTGTTAGACATAACCTTTGCTACCAATAACATGTCCAGGCGGATAAATGACTGGCATGTTAGTAGCGAAAACTCGATGTCTGATCACAAGCACATTAAGTTTGTGATTGGAGCATCACCATACTTTGAAACCGTTACTTTTAGGGATCCGAAAGCGACCTCCTGGGATATCTATAGAGATAGCCTAATGAGGAATTTGGAAACGTTTCCTAAAAGCATCAAAACAATTGAAGGTCTGGAGTTAGCGACGGAGACAGTAACCGTAGGTATCCGTGTAGACTTCGAGGACAGTTGTCCCGTCAAAACCAAGACCTCAACACGAAAAGTTTCTTGGTGGAATTCTAAGCTGAAGGACCGTAGGGAAAAGACCAGGAAACTATTTAATAGGGCTAAGAAAACCAAAGAGTGGGACATTTATAGTGCAGCCCTAACTGAATATAATAAAGAAATTAGGAAAGCCAAGAGAGCATCGTGGAGGAAGCTATGCGAGGAAGTTGAGTCTTTGCCTCGCAGTGCAAGACTACACAAGATGCTATCGAAAGCTAAACCTAATCAGATCGGGCTTCTTAAAAAGCCGGATGGTAACTTCACTAATAGTGAAACAGAAACATTGGAGTTACTAGCGTCAACCCATTTCCCAGGGTCATACAAAACTTCAGCCTTGAACTCTTTTAGAGCCCTACAAAGGCCTTGCAATGAGGACTGGCGTAGGGCTGCAAAGATAATAAGGCCAAACCTGGTGCAGTGGGCTGTTGACTCCTTTGAACCATTCAAATCAAGCGGGGAGGATGGAATAATTCCCATCCAACTACAGAGGGGTATCGACATCCTTCTTCCTTATCTGGTGAAAATCATCAGAGCAAGTTTTGCATGGGGATACATTCCAGAACGATGGACAAATGTCAAGGTTCTATTTATACCTAAGGATGGTAGAAAGGACTACGCTTTACCAAAGTCCTTTAGACCTATAAGCCTATCTTCCTTTCTTCTTAAGACATTGGAAAAGGTTATAGATAGATATATAAGGGATGTAGCTCTAGCTACGAGGCCCATACATTACAACCACTGGAGGATAAAGAAATAGCTCTTTGTACCTTTCTAGATATTGAGGGCGCCTTCGACAGTAGCCCCACATCACTGCTGATTGGGGGCCTAACATCTAAAAATGTTGACCCCACAACCATCAGATGGGTGAAGTCGATGCTCTCAAACAGAAAGGCAAAAATAGCGCCGTTTCAAACCTCGATTGAGGTTGCAACCACAAGAGGCTGCCCACAAGGAGGTGTTTTGTCACCCCTTCTTTGGACTCTTGCAGTTGACCAACTATTGTACAAAATGGCAGACCTACGCATTGAAACGTTATGCTGATGACCTTGTGATCATGGCAAGGGGCTTTTGCCAAAGTACTTTATCGTCAATAATACAAAGAGCCCTAAACACCATAAATAACTGGTGTAGGGATAACAGTTTATCAGTTAATATTGATAAAACTGTTATAATACCCTTTACCAAAAAGAGACGGTTGGACAAATTAGTCCAACCAAAACTTAATGGCAAAGAAGTACCATTTTCCACGGAAGTTAAGTACTTGGGCGTAACAATCGACCAAAAACTAATGTGGAACTCTCACCTTAGCAACTTATAAGCTATACATAAGGCAAAAATTGCTTTAGGTACGTACAGTCGTTTGATTTGAAACAACTGGGGCTTGCTTCCCAGCATGGTCCTATGGCTGTACAGCAGCATAGTGAGGCCGATTCTCACCTACGCCTCTATTGTCTGGTGTAACAAGGTCAACCAAAAAACGACTGCGGACAGACTTAATAGTCTACAAAGGACTGCCTGCCTAATGGCAACTGGAGCTATGCGATCATCGCCTGGAGCGGCTCTTAATGCACTTCTATGCCTAACGCCCCTAGATCTCTATCTAGACAAGGAGGCGAGGGCTAGTTTGTATAGGATTAACGCCCAGGGCGGTCTGAGCTTGCTCTCCTATAGATTGAGATCCATGCTCGACTCAATTAAGGAAACACCAGTCTTATGCATGATCTCAAACATCATGCATCCACTGTACACTTTTGATAAAAAGTATACAGTGGAATTACCCTCCAGAGAAGACTGGCTAAATGGCCAGGTTATCTGTGAGGTGGGTAGCCTCATATGGTATACCGATGGGTCTAAAATGGGCCTCGACTTAGGCTTTGGAATTTACGGGGAACGCCCCAAATTCAAATTTAGTATGAATTTGGGTAGATACACCTCTATCTTACAGGCAGAAATTTTCGCCATACTTCGGTGTGCGGAAATCAATCTGCAAAAACACTACGCCAACCATAAAATTTACATAAACTCTGATAGTCAAGCAGCACTGCTAGCGCTGAGATCAAACTTAGTGAACTCAAAGCTAGTTGGAGACTGCGTGAACCGTTTAAACGCCCTGGGTTGTAACAACAGGGTCGTTTTAAGATGGGTTCCGGGTCACGAGGGCATTGTAGGCAAAGAATTTGCCGACAAACTCGCACGGGAGGGCTCAAAGTGCACACAATTTGGACCAGAGCCATTTTGTGGAATCTCAAGAAGCCTAGCCCGATTGACCCTTGAAACTCTTTATCACAATAAATCACTTAAGATCTGGTCTGACACACCAGGCTTAAAACATTTTAAAACCTTAATCCGGGCTTTTGATCGTAAATTCGCTTCAGAAGCCCTGGGATTAAGTAAAAATAAATTGCGCATTCTGGCAAGAGCCCTAACTGGACACTATTGTCTTAAAAAGCACATGTCCATCCTGGGACTAAGCAACTCAAGGATGTGTCGGTTCTATTCCATAACGGAAGAAACACCTCTACACATACTAACCGATTGCGGACCCTTAATGCGCAAACGTAACTCTCATTTGG